ACGGTGCAGTATTGAATGTAACATGACAAGAGTTCACTTCTGAGTTTCGCCACCTACCACACATGGTGCAGTGTTGTCTACAGGTGCAAGGTGACGGACTTTGTTATGGCTGAGAACATGTTTACAATGTGCTGGGGGATTTGCACATCATGGTACATGCTACGGAGATTGACACATCAAACATACCCGGGTGATTACATAATTGCTACTAGAAGCAAAAGGATGGCCGTAGAAAACCTTGAAGAAAAACCCAGTGTATTCTGGTAGCCTAACATCTATGATAGTTGACACAGGCAGGTTGTTCTTATCCTGTACCATGCGTAGAACATCAGCATGATGTTGTATCTGGGATCTGTACAGCGTGTGTTGGTTACAGAAGGATCCACCACTTGTGGGGACTTGTGCATATCTGTGAGTGTCCACTGCATAATGTACAGTGGAGGTTAAAATACTGGCTGCTCAGTTCAGGGCTCAGTGTGTGTGTGTGTGTGTGTGTGTGTGTGTGTGTGTGTGTATGTGTGTGTGTGTGTGTGTGTGTGTGTGTGTGTGTGTGTGTGTGTGTGTGTGTGTGTGTGTGTGTGTGGAAAAAAAGAAAGAAAAAAAGAAAAAAATGGAAAAATGAAAAATAGGGGTTCACTGGCCAGAAAAAGTCACTTCAATCAGCTGTGTGGTGGATGCTAGGCTAAAAATAGTGGTGGTCAATTCATCAGCCTTACAAGCTGTTGAATGGTGTAATCCCAGCACAAGTTGCTATGTCTAACATAGCTGTTCGCTATCATCGCTTCCGCGATGGTCAGGTCTGAGGTCTGAGGTGTGTGTGTGCTTGCGTTATCGGCTTCTGCTTTGCAGGACGCCACCGCGAGAGGAGTGTACCCACCGATCTGCCACACGTGCTGCCAGCGGAAACGACCGTTGCTGTGCCTGCTGCCTGCGCTGCCATCGTCACCACACCAGCTAATGGAGCAGCAGCAGCAGTGACAGCGCCGGGTGCAGGGGCAGGGGCAGGGGTAGGTGCAGGGGTAGGGGCAACAGTCCAGCTGCTTCCAGTGCAGCTGTTGCAGTCTCCGGTGGCGTCGTCGGCGTCGGGCAGCCCGGTGAACGGAATCTCCGGACTCGTAGTATGTGCCAAGAACCTACAGTATGTTCAACTGGGTGCACACAAGCCGCCGGACGCACAGGCTTTACAGGGCAACAACTCACAGTGTGAATATGCGGAGGGACTGGGCCGCACTCGTCAAGAACAAGGTAGGGATCGGGAGCATGTTGTAGGCTTTAGCTGACTGCTGCTTATGTTGTAGCTCACACTTCCTGACAACTGACTAACTTATGATTGCTGTCTCAGTCAGTCTAGTGCCAGTCAGTTGGTCGGAAGGGCGAACTCCAAAGTCAGAAGCAGCCATTTTCTGCAGTATAGAGGTCAATTTTGCCCGCATCCCAGTACGCACAACTAGTTTGCAGGGACATTTTTCTTTCATTCTTTTTGAAGTACACCGTCGCTTTTTCTCTTTATGTTTATGCAGGAAACAGTCTGCCATGCACATACCTCTCATCTCCCTTGCTTGCTAGTACCGCGCCACTGAATGGCCACACACAGTACAGTCATGCCGTGTGTGACCCTTCCTGCACACAAGCAGCCAAACAAGCAGCCGAACAAGCAGCCAGCCGAACTGACAGAAAGACTACTGTCCAAGGTATAGCAGACTGTTTCCTGACATAGTGACAACGATGACAACGATGACGACGATGACAATGACGGTGACAATGACGACGATGACGACGACGACGCATAATTACGAATGTGCAGTTAGCGGGAATGCTGCGTTCTCATCTTGGTCTCGTTTAGGTCTTTTAACGATTGGTAGGTTCAAGCTCTTCAATGGTTGTGAGACACACATGTATAGTGTAGAGAGGGGAAATAAACACGACTGACTTGCTGTAACTCTGAGTTTCATATGCTAGCAATCATCAGGCACGACAATGGCGATGCTTCGGTGTCGGATTACGGGCTGGGTGATTAGTGATAATGCACTGGTGGGCACCCTCCAAACTGTTCCCTCAATCACATCGGCACAGTCTTTCAGCCCGCCGATCGCATACGCTATGCATCTCTGCATCGCTGCATGGGTGTCTGACGCATGGCCGCCCCCCTGGCGCTCAATGTCTGTGCTTCTGAAGTAGCTACTGACCTCCCGGCAACGTATTGATTTGTATCAGCTACTACCACGCAAGGTAATGAGTCACCGCACTGCTTGCTGATGGCCACAGTCGTATGTCTGCTTTCCTTGTTCACAAATACAGGCGACTCGGTGAATGGGTCAATGGAGGGTCAATATTGCATGGAGCAACACTCTGCTGTCCACCACCAAGAGAACCATGCCAGCAGGAATAATGGCTTGAGCAGGGAGGAGGATAAAGGGACTTGCTCCTATCAAGATGAGAACATTGATGCCACTTCCGGGACATCTACACCGCCGTCTCGCGCATACTGGAACAGTCAAGTGTGAGTCGTGTGGAAATGCCAACAATCGCAGCCGTGCTCCGGGTGCTGGTGTCGCGGTGTGTGTGTGTGTGTGTGTGTGTGTGTGTGTGTGCTTGTTTGTGCTTGTGTGTGTGTGTGTGTGTGTGTGTGTGTGTGTGTGTGTGTGTGCTTGTGTGTGTGTGTGTGTGTGTGTGTGTGTGTGTATGCGTGTGTGTATGTGTGTGTATATGTGTACGTGTACGTTTCTTGATTGGACAGTGAACATAGAGTTATTGAAGTGCACGCCAATTCCTCACCAATGTTAGATATGGCATTCTTGATTTTGGATTTCAATTAGCCATGAGTGCGTTGGGAGTTTATTCTACGTCCTGTGCGAATTTCGGGCTGAACCATTCTACGTTTGAACTTTGTTTTTGAAGCACTGAATACCTCGGAGCAATCACCCCAGTCTTTGTGCAGAGCTACCAATCGTCACGGGATCTCATAGTACACTGTTTGGTATGTGCATGTGTACATGTACACCGCAGCATAACTATAATTATACTGTGCATGTACACTTGTAGTCCTGGTAAGCACCCCAGTCTCCTCTCCCTGCTGGCGGCATGACATGTACAGCCCATTATTCTTATCGGTATCTTTCAGATATTCCATCTACGAGAAATGTTTAAATGCGTTCCTGAATATTCGTCTTGAGCAGTCCAATGGTGGTTTGGGGTACCTGCAGTACCGGCCGCGGAAGCAGTTTTGAATTGGTCCAGTCATACCGTAGCCCTTCACGCATTGCGCATGATATGGCGGGTGCACATGACCACCTCGCGTGTTGGTGGCCAAAAGGTTGGTCCGGCCAGGGCCTGACCAACCCGGCCAGGGCCTGAACAACCCGGCCAGGGCCTGACCAACCCACCCAGGGCCTGACCAACCCGTCCAGGGCCTGACCAACCCGGCCAGGGCCTGACCAACCCGGCCAGGGCCTGACCAACCCGCCCAGGGCCTGACCAACCCGCCCAGGGCCTGACCAACCCGCCCAGGGCCTGACCAACCCGCCCAGGGCCTGACCAACCCGCCCAGGGCCTGACCAACCCAGCCAGGGCCTGACCAACGCGGCCAGGGCCTGATCAACCCGACCAGGGCCTGACCAACCCGACCAGGGCCTGACCAACCCGACCAGGGCCTGACCAACCCGACCAGGGCCTGACCCACCGGACCAGTTCCGCTGGGCCTGTACCTTGTCCATGCGCATGGGCCTGTACCTTGTCCATGCGCATGGGCCTGGATGGCAGTGGTGGTGGTGGGGGGGGGGGCAAGGTTTCAAGGTAGTGGCCCTGTACTGCACTGTACTGTTGAAGTGTTGCCGGCACGGTGCCGGTACAATCATGTTCTTTAGTTTAGTGCAGTGAGTTGTGCCGCATCGAAGAGTGTTGTCAGTTGTAATACATGTGTAGTGTGCGTCACTGCGCCAGCTCTATGAATATGCGGTGCGTGCTGATCTCCTGTGCCTGCTGTTGCCTGCGAGTGTTGGAAATTCTTGCTCCATGCTACATCAGTGCATGCTGTACATGTACATGTACATGAAATGAAGCTGTCTATGATGTGGCTGCATCAGACTGCTCGATATTGGCCATAACATAATACTTTAAAAATAATCCTCATAGTGTTGTAGTACAATGGTACTAATCTGAACATTCATACAATCATCACCCCTCATTAGTTGCCATCACGATAGCATGTCCACAGCCAATGTTGTGCTGCAGCACAGCTAGTTTGCTGGTGTGGCTCAGTACGACAGTAGACATCACCGGGCCGCACAAGGCACACTTGTAGAGTGTGCATTGTGTACAGTGGCAGACGATTCGCGTTGGCGGCACTGATTGCCACTGTACATAAATACTGCATTGTGACTATTGCATGTGTGCTGGGGTCACTCTGCTTGAGGAAAGCCTTTTAAATACAGTTATCCTGTTGTGCTCCGGCAAAGCATCATCCGCGGCATGCCTCACTGAATGCAGCAAGCAATAGAGTGTACCAAGTTTGAACGTTCACAGATCAACACACCACCATCTATTTGCAGTGGTGCTGTCAACAGCAATTCTTATCAAAGCGGTGCCCAAAACGACGGAGCATGAGCACTGAAAAATTCTGCATTTCATTCAGTTCTTACGTATTATGTGCAAGACATACAGACTCCAATTTAAAGACATTGAAAATCTCAAGTTCCGCATTGGCATAGGTTATTCGCAGATAAAGTTTCTACGCAATGGAGCCACAGGAGCAAAAAGTAAGAGGTCAGCTGTAGACGAGTTGCGTACGGAAACTGTGCCAGACGAGAACCAATGGCAATAATATACATGTACTACAGGACAGCCATGTCCTTCTGAACCACAATACAGTGGTCCCTCTATAATCCGGCACCATTTGTGCCACGAAAATCTGCTGGATTAGGGAGGATGCTGGATTAACAAATCTGATTTACTGCTGCAATGTGCATGAAGAGGACATTTTGGCTACTGAAAATTGTGCTGGTTTATCGAGGGTGCTGGATTATAAAGTGCCGGATTAGAGAGGGACGACTGTATAAACCCACTTGCTAAACACGGCACTACCAACGAAACAATAATTATAATACTTCGAAGTATATTCGAAAACTGTACCCAACTCAAGTAGCAATTTTATAATACACGTAAAACAATGCTTCCTTGTCAAGGCAATAATATTGTTAATTTCATGAAGCAAAGATGAGAAATCGTAATACCCGGTAATTATTTATAAGAGATGCCAATGGTGTACCTGGACATAATCATTAGCAAGGGATAGGTTGACTAGTGCAGCGCTGCACTGGTGAAGAGCGCATGCGGCAAATTGACAAGCACAATTGAGATAGCACCAAAACTTTGTAATCAACGATTGAAACGTGGCCACCTACCAAGACTGAATTATATTATTTCCGATAATCTGTACAATGCGCCACGCAGTGAGAGCAGTACGCAGAGCGATACGCAACCAACCTCGGTATGAGCTGGTTACATGATGGAGCATTTATCATCGCTGTCACCACTAGCAGCGCCTGACTGACTGCCTCTCCTGGGCGCAGCTGAATCGCTCTCCTTGGCGGGAGGAGATGAGCTGCGAGCAGCACCGGCTTCTGGTTTCAGACCGTATTTTGCTCGTATGTCATTCCTCTGTTTGGCACGATCAGCGTGCTTCGTGGCTCGATCTTCATCTCGTTTCCGCCGCTTCTCCGCCTCGGCCTGTTCTTCCTTCAATCGCTCAGCATCAGCTTTCTTCTTATTGCGCTTCTTTTTCTCCTCATCTGAATCCTCATCGCCAAAGTTGAATGGCCCTTTCTTTTTCTCAGACATTCCAAGGCTCTCCTTCATGGAGCTGGTTTTGTTGGACAACACCGCTTTAGCTACGTACCCGGCCATGTTCTCAAGTCACAGAGAGCTACAGTCCAGACAACAAGTAGCAACTAACGTACTCCCGAGAGGCACAATCCAAGGAAGACACAGTCTACTTCAGTACTGTCTTTCTACTGTCATTCTCCTTTGGCCGCTAGAAAAATAGTTTTGAGTTTTGAGACTACAATTATTTTAGAGACTGACTGTACGATCCGTCTAGCTAGATAGCGCTAGTGCAAGTGGCGATCTATGCTGTGCATGCGGTGCATGCATGCGATGGTGCTGGAACAGGCGGGCCCGGGAGGCGGCGCGGGAGCTAGCTACACAGACATCTAGATCTACACTAGGGATGTCAGCGCGGACACTGCGCAGGGCTTTGCGCATTCTATGATGTAATCGATTTTTCAACGCGGCGATGGCAGACTGAAAGAAAATGGCGATCGCCAAAAACCGGCTCAGTGAGTCGCTATTTGACGACTCCCCGATGCAGCTCGACCTAGATTTTGAAGTTTGGAACATTTTTAGAGAGAAAGAGAGGGAGAGAGAGAGAAAGAGAGGGCTAGAAAGAAAGATTACTCAAGCTAATGCTTCAGTAGAGTCATTAGACGTTCTGGGCACACTTATAGGCTAATATCATCTGACGATTTCCACAGCTTGTGCCGCTTGTTGCAGAGCATAAGTGAAAATGCGCCGCCAGAAGATCGGCGATCGTGAAGTCGGCTTTGGGTAGATTTGGCTTTCGCCATCCCGAGGAGCCGCTCCTGTTGCCTGTGAGAACCAAACCACGTCTCCACACGACTACTCGAACAAAACCCTGTCCACACCTGACAATCGATGTCTCTGGAACAACGGCCCATATGCACGGCGATATGTCAGAAATGCAGAAATTCACAAGAACGAACACCGTCACGTGGAGCATGAACGCTTCGGTCAAATTTCCTACAAACTCTCAACAGCCAACATCAAGTATTTCTGCCGGGTTTACCATTGAATCCAGAGCTTTTCCCCGGTTAAATCCAGAGATTTTCAACTCGGAGATCGTGGCAACGATCGGCATGGTCGCCATTTTCCGCTCTGAAAGAACCCTGTCGTTTGGAACGAAAACGGCTTCGCGCCTTCCAACGAAAGCTACAAATCGATTCCAGAACACATGGGCGGCCAACATACCAAACAAGATCCCATTCTGGTAAGCAGGTAGCCTGTAACCACGATCTCCTTGCAAGGAAATTTCAGCCATTTCTCCTTCGTTCAAGGTCTCAATTTTCTGCAAAAAATAGCCAGTGTTTGGCAAAAATTCTGCATGCCACTTCTGATGCGCGTTTGGCTGCATGCGCGAACTGCATGCGCAGTGCACGCGCTGAGATCCCTATCTACACTACTCAGCTCACTAGTCTATTTTTGTAGAATGCATGACCAGAAATTCCCCAGACTGATCTAATACTGATAGTAATACTAATAATAGTGATAAAGTATAATTATGTCATAAGGCCACCTAGAATTAATTCGTTGTTTCGGGTCACTTCAATTCACTCAGATCATCCGTACCAGGGTCGGTCGGTCGGGTTTATTTTTTATTTTATTTTTTATTTTGGTTACGTCCATGTACAGTCATGTACATGTACATCGAATAGCTTTTGTCCATCTAGCCAGTCGATCAAATCTGAATGTAGTGTAGACAATCCAGCGCAGCCATTGTCCCATCAGATCCAGGTCCCCTCCAGGACCAGATCTTGGCCGCGCTGGCAAACGAGTCTGACCGTCGAGCAGCTCTCACCTTGAAAACTTCTGTAAACAGCGACAAGGTGGCGGAGCTGATGCTGTTTCAGGACCGTTTGCGGATCGGAGATAGAAGACAACGTCGTCACCAAGCGCTGCATCCTGTCATTTGGCTAGCCATGGCTGCTTCTGAGGTCGATATCTGGACTGCTATTATAATAGGGTCGCGTGTGTACATAGTTTAGTCTGTACATTTGCATGCACTATAAAGAAAAAACATTTGCGGTCGGGTGAAAAAAGACGGTCGGTCGGGTGACCCGAAACAACGAATTAATTCTGGATGGCCTAATTATACTTATTAGACTGATACTAAAAGCAACACAGATGAGGAAAGGCCTCTTTTACGGGCAAACAGAATACAATTAACAGTGGCATGGCGAATGATATGATTAGAACACAACACCAAAAAATGAAAACAATTGTATGTGTGAAAAGAAACGCAAAAAACGAGAGAGAAAAAAAGAAGAAAAAACCCAGGAAAATGATACTAGTGAAGACTAGTGAAGACTGATACTTAGTATCTGACATTATTAATTTTTATGATACCAAGAGTACCGTCATGGTTATGTACATGTACTCTTGTCTTGATGATACCAAGAGTACATAACCCTGGGGTTAGGCCTCGACCAAATATGCTTGCGCATATTTCAGCATATTTTGTGAGCCAGTTCATACATGTACATGGCATATTGAGCGACAAAGGGAATATTGGAATGAAGCCAGCATATAATTCAAATATTCTGAAGGAAATTAGGACAAAACATTCATATTATGAACAAAATGCGTTCAGAAATGCCTTTTATGGATGAATTTGGAATGGTTGAGGCGTTTGCTACATTTTCCCATGGATGAACACTATCGCTACTGTTGCTGGGGACACACCCCAGCCATACAATTCCGCATGTGTTTTGATTTGCACCATAAGCATGATAGCCGTGAAGCCATTGACTATTCCAAGGTTGTAATTTTACTGAAATGATCTACACTTCCTGCTGATGTCGAGCATGTCATATCTTTTTTGGATATCTTGCTAAACCTTTGGCATATTATGGACGTTTTCCCTGATATGCGATGAGCATAATATGCTCTTTTATTTAGCATATTTGGTCGAGGCCTACCTGGGGGATTGTACTCTTGATGATACTAAGTATCAGACGGCGTGACCATGGTGACTGACAGCTACATGTACAATCATGTACATGTACATGTACATGTACATACAATCATGATGACTGACGAGTGCATGACTGATGACTCGTGTGATGAGTCTGATGTCTGTGATGACTGATGTTGTTGGTTGACAGCATGACCATGATTTAGATGACTGTATAGTAGTCGTAGACCTACACCGTCACTGTATATGTAACGAGGACACCGCCGTGCACGGAAACAGTGACCAGGTGACCGCCTTTCTACAACTAACTGCAGACTGTCCAACCTTGCCACCTTTCCAAAGCAGGACACTTACAGAAAATGTATACAAAGGCAACTGTCTCGCATGTAAATGTACACAAATGTTTTGGTCCAAAGCAGGACTGTCCTGCTGAAAGCAGGACTGTCCTGCTGAAAGCAGGACGGTTGGACAGCATGTAACTGTTACCTTACAAGTAACAGTTCAACCATCCATGGTTGGTAGTCATGGTAGAACCGGGTCGGTTGCGACCATCTGAACCGTGTGGGTGTTAGACCTGGTTCTGACCCTCTCTATTATAGGGGAGTTGTCTTAGACTTCTCGTACCGTCAGTCTTGTATTCTTTGTTTGAAGTTTTATTTTACATCGCAAACCAAACGGGCATTGATGCAATATTATGATGGCGATAGAATAAAAAGTGTAGCTCGATAAAGCTTCACTTGCGAAAATGAGAAAACAGTCAAAAGGAAGTATTTGTACCGGTAATTACAAGTCAAGTTCGAACGAAGTAACAATCAGGGAGAAATAGGAAGATGAGGACCTATGCCAGAGGGAGGTGCTATTCGGCCATATTAACCGTAGAAAAACACTTTCAGCAATCTTTTAAACGGGGTTGGACGACGAGCGGACGTGAGTTCCTGTGGCAGGGTGTTCCAAAGCTTCACGGCGGAAACCAATGGTCGGCTGTCGCCAGATGTTCGCCGAGTTAGCGGAACAACGTATTTGCAATTGTCATTGCCACGGGTGTTACTGGGAGGTTGGAGGGCTACTCTATCTTTCAGAAGAGGGCTGATGCTGCTGGTGTGGACACGGTGCATAAGGAAACGGAGTTTGCATTTGGCACGTTCAATTACAGGGGTCAGGGAAAGGCGAGTGTATATAGGAGTGGTATGGGACGGGAAGGGCAGATTGGCTACGCAGCGAACACATCGCTTGTCGAGGACAGTGAGCTGGTGCCGCTGCTGAGCCGTGAGGGCAGAGAAGAACGCGTTTGATCCATAAAGCATGTCAGGAAGTATAAGGGCAGAATAGAAGAGGAGCGACTGGCGTTCAGATAGCGACGGGCGGATGGTTCTCAGGGTGGTTAGCTTCTGGGAAGTTTTACGTACTATGCTGGAGACCTGCGCGTCCCACCGAAGACAGGAATCGATCTGTAGGCCCAGAAAGCGAGCAGTGGTGGTCTGGGTGAGAGGCGTCCCGTTGCAGTTAACGTTGAGTTCTAGGGTACTACGGCGTGATGCCTCAATGGCTAAGACCTGCGTCTTGTCAGGGTTTAAAACCAGGCCTTTCCCGTGTAGGTAGTCAGCCAAGTTTGACACAGCAACTGATAAGACTTGATTTAGGGTTGCTACGGATCTGCTTGCGGTGTCGAGAAGGATGTCATCCGCAAACAGCTGGGAGTGTGCTGGGCTGGTGACGCTATGGACGTCCATGGTATATAGTGAAAACAGCAAAGGACCCAGTACACTACCCTGAGGGACTCCACACTCGCATGCATTTAGGCCCGAGCACTGCCCACTCGCCAGAACTACTCTCTGTCGACGGTCCGTGAAGTAGCTCGCAAACCAACGCAAAACAGTCGAAGATACACCCAAAGCAAACAAATCTTGGATCATGAGCTGGTGCCGTACTTTATCGAATGCCTTGCTCATGTCCACTAGTACTGCGCCAGTATGTAGCTGGTGGTCTGCTGACGACAGATAGCGGTCCATGGCCAAGGTCAAGGCATCTTCCGTGGAGTGTTGTGGCCGGTACGCAAACTGATTGGCGGGCAAAAGTGAATGGGTTTGTAAGAAGTCACACAGGCGTTTGTGGACTATCTTCTCGGAGACGTGCACAATGCCAGACGAAAGGGATGCATTAATTAATATGGATAGCGACGGGGCGAGGGCTGCTGCACAATGCTTCAGGATGAATGCCGGAATACTGTCGCTGCCCTCAGCTTTACGAGCATCGAGTCTCACGAGAAAGGTGAATACCTCCTCAACACTA